CAATGGAGAAGGCGCGGAGAATGAATTGAATGGACTGGAGTTGATCGAGTGGCATGGCTCGGCCATGCAGGCGTGGTCTCTATTCATATTAAATATATTGTTCCTTCTCTAACCTAACCTTGTTCTTCATCATGTATTGGTAATTGATACGATACAGTGAGTTGGTGTAGTCGATGGTGTGACTTCCACGTAAGATCTTATAGATTAGGCAGTTATATCATGACGAATCTACAAATTTAGGATTAGGTCTATTATTAGAGCAGTACTAATATCATAGTAGACCATAATTCTACATTGGTGAGCCCAACTAAAGAAACGCAACCTATTATTACTAATAATAATAATATATTTCTGCATGTGCAGGTACACACCGTTTTTACAGGCATGATCTATAAATTACAATATTTGTTGGTTCGCAAAATGCTTCCCAACTTATTAAGTTTATAGTTGTTATAAAGTGAGATCGTAGAGCGCTTGCTGTAAACTATGACCTTGAGAGGACGCGTACGTTAAGTTTGCTCCAAACTTCAGAAGTTTCATAGTTGTGCTCTCAGAGCAAGATTCTGAAGGAGAAAAAAAAAGAAACAGAGGAGCAGCAAGGCACTTGGATATGAACGCCAAAGGTTGCTTAACATTGTGTAGTAGAACGGACAGAGGTATAATAAATTAGAATAAATTCATATTATGTCTTGTTAGAGTGAAGTGAAGTCAGAGGCTCCATATTAGAGAATGTACTAATAAAGAACAACGAGTAGTGATGTTTAACAAGTTGGAGTAAGCTCACATGAAGGAAGGGAAGTCAAGGTTGGTACAAGGGAAGCGGTTTATTAGAAGGGTGTATATATAGAGGGTGAAGTGTTAAGAATACTAGTGACTATATCTTTTATTGTCTTTTTTCTTTTCTTTTTTTGTCCATCCGATGTCAGCCACGCAATCCTAGTGTAAAAGTCTGAGTTAGCATGTTATAGGTTGTCTTAGTAGAATAGCTAATCCAGCATATTATTGGAAACATGAGTCTGAGTGGTGAGCGTAGGAAGACAATCTATATCTTAGATTGACTGTCTTATTCTCAATTATAAAGAGCCTGATACATACAAAATGTTCTGTCCCCACAAACACGGGTGGATTGAAGTTATCGCCCTCACCATCAATGCTTGCTGGTCAGTAACTCCACCCTCCCTCCTTTTGTGATGTTAGGCTCATTTAAGCTTATTTTTGTATATACGTCATACCTCACACAATCCTCTGTTTCACAACTTGTTGGAAAGCACTATTTCTATAAGTACCATTTTACAAGCTTATCAGGCAGTTACAAGCTGTGGACTGTGGGTAAAGCATCGATGCAGTGCCTCTGTTGACTATAGTATAAAGTATAGTTTGCCAAACAGAGTATAAGCGTTAAGAAGGGTATATTGTAGGATAGTTGTTTATTTAAGCAGGCGGAAAAAGTATAGAAGTATGAGTTGTGGATAAGGGAACGAGTAGAGAAATAATATTAATTGCTAGTCAACATTGTGTACAGAAGAGTAAAAAGTTAATATAGGATAAACAGGAAGGAACTCACAGTAACTTGGTGCTGATGTTATTTTCTGTTGTCTTAACCAGTTGATTGGTAACAGGTTCCATAGATGCAAGACCACTGGTAGTGGGCAGCCGATTGTCGGGTCCTCTTGAATTTTTAGGGTGGTAGTGATTGTCCCTTATCGACCGAGTTTAGTTTGACAGTAATGATAGGTCCAGTGAGTTACCTGTCTACTTCAAGTGAAGAAATGGGGTGGAAAAAGTAATTAATACAACTGCAAAGTAGGAAAAATAAGGCAAACTGAACTTGAAGTCCATTTTGGTCTAGACATGGAGAGAGCCTATGATGTCTGAGTGGGGTGCAGATGTGTTCGTACGTGCAAGATCAGTGCGAGTGAGGGCTTGATCAAGCAGTTTCACAAACGTATGTAGTTCATCTGCCATGCGAGTCTCGGAAGGAAGACTGTTCCATATTATTGCATACTTGGTGAGGAAGAAGTTTTCCCGAGTTTTTGATCTGTATTTCTCAACTTTGACCGTAGATACTTTGTTTCGAAGTTCGTATTCATGTGAATCTCGGGCAAGAATTATCTGACATGTTGAGTAAGTAAGGTTTTTGAGTAGTTTGAAGTAGAGAATCAAATTAGACCTAAGCCTTCTCTCCCAAAGGGGTGCTATTCCTAAGATTTGGCATCGGGAACTGTAGTCAATGACCGAGCCAGTCTTAAGTATTTTGCGGGTGAAGTCTCGTTGTATTCCTTCCACCTTTAGTATATCAGATAGACGTAGGTTGGAAAATAAGAACGAGCAGTATTCAACGATAGGTCTTACACAAACTTTGTAAAGAAGGATTTTAGATTCATTTTGATAGAAATTACGGAGAATGAAGCCAAGCAATTTCCGCATTTTGGATGCTTTGGCTGAGATGTGTTCAGAGAAATTAAGACTGTGTGAATAATGTACCCCTAGGTCAGTTACTGATGCCAGTCTGGGGAGTGCGTGATCGCTAATTGTTAGTTTCATTTTAAGAGACGTGTCTCCTATACATAACCAGCCGCATTTCTCTATGTTGAGCTCTAACCTCCAGCGTTTGCACCAGTCATCTACCATGTTGAGTTCATGTTGGATTGTTTGCATAGTACTGCGTAAATCGCAAATGTCAGTTTTATAGATGACTTTTAAGTCATCGGCATAGAGGTAGGTCTTACCTGTGCTGAAACACCTGCATATATTGTTGATGTAGATTATAAAGAGCAATGGACCCAAGACACTACCCTGCACAACACCACTGGTTATCGGTCGAGGTGTAGATGTATTAGAGTTAATCTTGGTTATTTGATATCTGTTCGTAAGAAAAGACTTGATCCATTGCAAAAGGGGATTTATAATTCCAACTGACTTCAGTCTGTTGATTAGAAGATTATGAGGTACTTTATCAAAGGCTTTCTTAATATCGAAGTATAGTATAATAACTAGTTTCTTCTGGTCACGCATACGAGTAACCTCGTTAAAGAAGTCTATCAGGCATGTACTGCACGACCTTGTTCTAATGAAGCCGTGTTGTGACGGTTCTATTAGATCTTCCTTAAGTAGGTGATCAGATAGTTGATTTTGTATCACTTTTTCCATTATGCGTGATATGACTGGAGTGATATTTATAGGTCTGTAGTTTTCTACCAGGTTTCTCGGTCCGGATTTGTGTTTGGGTAGAACATACGTTACCTTCCAGGTTTCCGGATATGTACCTGTCTCTAAAGATAATGTGTATATTTTGAGTAGTAGCGTCTGTATGTCCGGCCCTGACATTTTATAAACGATTGAAGGGATGTCATCGGCACCAGAACTCGCATTTGGTTTAAGGGTTTTAATGGCGGTATGTATACTCATAATGTCGAAGTTTATGGTACTAAGATAGTTTTTGCCGGTGCACTTTATGTCGATATCTGGGGCATCAGATGTATTCCCATTGTGAGAAAACCATTCACTTAATAGTTCACATATGACGGTTTGGTCATTATACGTTACTCCATCGTGCAGTAAGGAGTGAATGTTGTTGTCTGTGTTCTTTCTTATGCGTTTCGTGAGGAGACGACATAGGGCTTGGGCTTTAGATGCAGCAGCGAGCGCAGTACGTTCCTCTACCTGTTTATGCTTGTTGTGTTGACTTTGTACTCCGTCAAGTACAGAGTATATCTGGTGCAGGGCACTGAAGTCTTTTGATATATAGTACATCCTTTTCAGTTTTCTCAGTTTAGACCTAGTCTTTTGGTTTATATAGGGAGTAACTGTTTTAAAACCAATTTTAGAGGGTATAGTGGTGTCTAGTGCAGATTTGGTGGTGATATTGAATATTTCTAATGTTTCTAAGAGGTTATTACTGGTAAAGAAACTGCCCCAGTCAGAGTGCTTTATTAGAAATCGAAAGTTTTCCCAGTCAGCGTTTGCATAGTCTCTATATTGGAATCGCGTTTTTAATGTCTTTAATTTGTTGCATATGGCAAGAATCGGAAGGGTGCAGAGGACTATTTTATGATCGCTGTTGTGAAACTTTTCGCTAACCACCATTGATATTGGTGTGACACTATGACAGAATATCAAGTCAAGAATGTTGTGATTTCGTGTAGGCAGGTGTACATGTTGTTGCCAGCCGTGTATGTCTAAGGACCTAAGTATGCTTTCAAAGCACAATGGGCCAGAATGTGTCTTCCAGTTGATGGTGGGAAGGTTGAAATCACCACATACAATTTTGTATGTGAAGTCAAGCGAGGCAGCCTGAGCAAATGACTCACTTATAATAGTGTCAGTTGAACTAGGAGTGTTAGGAGCTCGATATATGCATCCGATTAGTATTTTACATTCATGAGTGTGCACAGTAAGCCATATCGATTCAGGAAGTTTGCTGAGGACGTGGTCGCTATAGGTTTCCGCTCTCAAATTTTTTGATACATAGACGAGACAACCACCACCCTTCTTGGTGACTCGATCACAGCGGAAGAGCTCATAGGTGTCTATTTGTAGAAATGTGTCTGTGGTATCGGAGGACAGCCAACTTTCCGTTATCAAAACAAGTGAGGGGTTGTTTAAAAGCAATAGGGTGCGTAGGTAAGTCATCTTACTTTGTACAGATCTAGCGTTGATTAACATAAGTGTCAGGTACGGTGACTGTTTGTCTAGTAGAAGGGTATGATGTAAACCGAGTGGTTTGTCTGTTTTGCCCTGAGAAAAGGAAGAATTGGGAGCGTTGACTCCATATTGATGAGTGTTTAGTTTATTACCATTAGGGTTAATGCAAGAAGGGTAGTCGGGTGTGGTTTTGGTGAAAGAAGTATGTCTAAGAGTGGAAGGTAGAGTCGAATGATTAGGTAATGTGTCCGGGGAATGATCAGGGGGTTCAGTCAAGGAGTTTTCAAGACTAGAAACAGTTATCGAAGTTGAGTAGGATGTGCTACTCCCCATTAAATCGGAGTATATAGATGGTTTCAGAATAGTGGGATTGTCGCCCTCAACATTTGGAGACCCCATAGCAGTAATGTTGAGGGGGAGAGAGATAAAAAAGGATGAGATAGTGTGCATGTCGAATTAGGGGGGACTAAACCGTTGTATTGGGTGGCTTGACTTGGATAGTACCTAGAATCTGTAGGTGGGTTCCCAAGTAGGCCAGCGTTATGGCTTCCTCGTGTGCGGTGGGCAATTTTAGTCCTATTGTGGTCAGTTGGGGAGGTTGTATGTTTCTGGTAAGGGATGAAGGAATGCCTGTTATTATTGCCAGGAGAGGTGTTTCTGTTGTGTATAGTTTTGTGTTGGTTCATGGGGCTTACAAGGTTGACACCATATGACTTATGGGTATCACGTGTGGGTGTGGTTCTTGTCGAGTGTCGTTTCACATTAGGATGAGCGGGTGTTGCCAGTTCTCTATGTTTGTTGTAGGGCATTCTATTACTATGAGAAGGTGCATGTTTTGGGTTTGGGGTGCTGGAGTATTGGTGGGTTTTTACGGAGAGTTTGGTGTTTTTTCGCACAGCGGTGTCCGCGGGTCTGTAGCTGTTAGCGCGATCCCTGGGAGGATCATTTTTAGGCATTTTATAAGGGCCGCTAGGGTAATACTTGGACGCTATTGAGGCATAAGTGGTTTGGCATTTTGGGGTAGCTGAGTGTCTGGGCTGAGGGTGAGTGGTTGTAGCTGCTTTATGTGCGGTCTTGTCCTTAGGACTAATAGCAGTGTCCGACGTGCCTCCGTTTTTTGGGGGGGCAGTGTATGATATTTTAGGGTTTGTGCAGTGACAAGAGCTGTAGCTGCCACGGCTACGTAAGCTGGGTTGATCAGTTTGTGTTCCATTGCAGATTCGACGCTGGATAGCGGTCCTGTCATGAATGATCCTAATCTTTTTAAATGTTGGAATACGCCTCAGTAATGACTGACTATTGAGGAGGTGATTAGCTTCAGTGGTGCTACCAAACTGAAATAGAATGGGACAGGAGGCTTTAGTGTGTGCCTTACGTAATCTTCTTGTTACACACCAAGATTGCGACAATCCACATTCTTGTAGCAGAGTATTTTTAGCAGTCTTTATGTTCGTACTATCAGGTATATTATACACAATAACATTCTGCATACACTGAAGTCTTTTCAACACTTCAGATGATATATGGTCAATTACTTTTTCAGTGTTTTTTATAATTTCCAGATCGGGATTTTCTGGAACACTGATTAAATATTTGTAAGGTAATAGGTCTTGAATAGTTTGGGTGAGGCTAAGTTCTGTTTGGCTGCTTTTAGGTCTACCAGTGGTGAGATTATCGGAGTTTATATCAAAGTTTCTAAGGTCGATATGGTTACATACAGGCCTGTTGCAGGTGTCTAGCGGATGTTCACTTTGTGCACACTTAGTTGGGGGATGGGGTATATGTCTGGGTGAGTAGTCAAGATCTACATCACCGGGCTGGCTATTGTAGGCAGGCTTACATATACTCCGTGGGCCGCTATTCAGGATGGCCGATTGTGAGATTGCTGGGTGTTTGGGATCAACAGCACTGTCTAAATACTGCTCACAACATGTGGTGTTTTTGTTTGGACTGACAAATGATGTCGACTCTAACGGTATGTGACTGCTCTTATTTATATCGACAAGCGAGATGCAAGGTAGTAATATGTCTTGTCCAAGTAAACGGTGAACGTTAAGTGTGGCTGAGGGAAGATCAGAGTAGGATGCAGACTGATCAGTGTGTTTATAAGGTTTCACATTATTCGCTTTAGTGACTGATTTAGATCTTTTGCAGGTGCTATAGGCATCAGGAGAGATTATATGTTTTTTAGATGGCCTGGTCATTATCGGAAGTAATGTAAATACAAAGTTTAATTAGGTGGACAGCGATAGTTGTAATTTAACTTAGTGAACGTGTGAAGTTTTATGGTAGGATCAGACCCAGTATTAGTTAAGAGTAAATATATTAACGTTAATTGGTGATAGAGATAGCGTGAGAATTAGCAAGATTAATTTATGACGTTGAGTTCCTAAATAAGGTGTCAAATTGATAGAACCCTATCAGTGACGAATTATTTATCGCTATTAAGTGTTAAATTAAAGAGAAAAACTAATAGGAAAATAAAATAATACCACGTGAAAAAAAGTTACAACCTTCAAAAGCGCGCCGAATTTTAATGGGGGTAAACTGATTACACTAGTGACTAGAGTATGGGTTTTGCTAGGATTAGTTCTGCCAGGTCCAGTCAAAGTAAGGCATTACTGAAGAAGAAACAAATAGGAAATTGGCTCGAATTGAAAAAGGAGTTCAAGATATTAGAGATACAAGATGTGGTTGAGCTTGTAGAATTATGGTCTACTATGATATTAGTGCTGCTCTAATAATAGACCTAATCCTAAATCTGTAGATTCGTCATAATATAACTGCCTAATCTATAAGATCTTACGTGGAAGTCACACCATCGACTACACCAACTCACTGTATCGTATCAATTACCAATACATTATGTAGAACAAGGTTAGGCTAGAGAAAGAACAATATATTTAATATGAATAGAAGATATAAGGTAACATTAAGCAGAGACCACGCCTGCATGGCCGAGTCATGCCATCCGATCAACTCCAGTTCATTCCATTCATTGTTCCCACCTTTTCCATCGTTAGGTATTTCTCCGTGTTAAATATTGAATATCTATTTTCCGAGTAGTGTTGTGTTCACCTTTGAAGATTGTGTGGTTATGGTCCAATGCCACTACACTACTCTCCCACCAGAATCAACGTGATGTTGGTTCGATACCAAATTGGATGGGATCATCACGCGCCGAGGTTGCCAAGGATAATAAGGATCCTCCGGGTATTGATAAGCTGAAAGATAAATCAAAAAGAAGGCGGCAGCATCTGGTCGGGAAATACATGTAATAGTTTTAAAATATCTGCCTTCATGCTTAAAACGCTTGAAGTGAAAATTTGGGTGAAGATTATTTGAACTATAAAGAATGGCATAATAATAATGATAATAAAACGATGCGTGCTAATAGCCGTTGGTTAGTAACTTAACGTAAAGGTAGTAAGTATTTCGTGTTTAGAAATATTAAAGTAATGAATGTTGTGGAAATGTTAATATTGGTATTAGTTTTGGTTTAAATTATGAAATCAAATAACGATTACGCCGGTAAGTTGTCCATATGAGTTGAATTCCAATTGCATCTGTATTAGTAGGCTTGTAGTGGCATTGGACAATAGCCACACAATCTACAAAGCTGTGAACACGAGACTACTCAGAAAATAGATATTCAATATTTAACTCGGGGAAATACCTAACAATGGAGAAGGCGCGGAGAATGAATTGAATGGACTGGAATTGATCGAGTGGCATGGCTCGGCCATGCAGGCGTGGTCTCTATTCATATTAAATATATTGTTCCTTCTCTAACCTAACCTTGTTCTTCATCATGTATTGGTAATTGATACGATACAGTGAGTTGGTGTAGTCGATGGTGTGACTTCCACGTAAGATCTTATAGATTAGGCAGTTATATCATGACGAATCTACAAATTTAGGATTAGGTCTATTATTAGAGCAGTACTAATATCATAGTAGACCATAATTCTACATTGGTGAGCCCAACTAAAGAAACGCAACCTATTATTACTAATCCTTATTTCCACTTCAACTTTCTCGATCGATTTTATATTTATGTTAACCCTGTATTCTAATAGTCCTCTGATTAGTGCTCACATGCATTATCGTAATATTATATTGATTAGTCCTCATGACAAACTAGCTCAATCGATAATAAAAACCGGTCGTCTATATTAACTAATTAGCCTTGATGGTTTGTTAACAAGCTGTAATAGCATTTACATGCTTCAGCGACATAGTCTTGTTTAAACATCAAGCTCTAGCAAATATGACCTGTCAATAGCGTAAATATACATTGACTAACAATGCGATCAAGGACTAAATAGTTATCTGGATCTAATTCTTGGTGTTCCTTCAACTCATCATGTTCTAAACTATGCACTATCCTGTAATATCTTTTCTTCCGACCACTGCCTGCCTAATTTCATATTTTCGAGTTCCATTGCCAAACAACAAGGATGACACTTCTCCAGAAACATACGGTGAGTTTCAGCTATAAGTTTTCTGCAATCATAAAGTCATTTTAGATGACTCGTTCAATGGCAACCACACAATTACCTAGATTCATTCGATTGTTCTGATCCGAGCGAGTGGCAGAAACGCCAACAGGATCAAGCACCCTAGAATTAATTGCCATACTGCATGTTTTATTCTGGATACTTTTGGATCATTACTACTCCTCACGAATGGCGTTATATATGTCGTCCACTGAATAATCTAATTTTCAAAAATAATCCAGGCGAGTTCAACTATTTTACTGGATGATTTTTTTTACTTAACATGTATATGTTTTCCGGTTCCTTTTGCCATATATTTGTAAGTGTCCCTAGGCTAAATGCAGTAACTTCTTATGGAATGTTTATAACGCGTCAAATTCCTGCCTGAAGTTTCACAAGCATTCTTAACTTTGAATTTATTTATCTGGTCATGTTCAGTATTTTTAAATCGTCATATACGTCAACAACATGAATGTTAACCTGGCCCGTACATACGTTACACTATATCTTCATGTCTTCTAAATTTAGGAATCATCTGAATCGCCTTTAACATTTATCAATAAACCCATCATAGTCGTTGTTGCTAATCGTATTTGGGTTTATGGATTGGTTTATCATATTACCAGCCTAAAATGCGGACATAGTTTAGATAATAAGATTAAAAATTTAGGTACTATCAACTGCACTAGTAAAATAACTAAGTCCTCAGGTAGCTTTTGGCTAAACAAACGTTTCAAATCAAAACTCCGTAGCCTACTAGAATTAACACTAAACGAATCTTTCTGAATTAAAATTTATAATTAAATTAGGCGTCTCGGATTCTTTAACGTTATAAATTTCTGATAATTTCGAATCACCTAAAGCATCAATACCTATTTTTCTACTGACTAATCCTCAATCAACACCATAACTAGCTAAACATAATAGTTTCAGGATATCGTCATAAAGCATTGTCATTACTTGACAATCACGTAATATGATTGATAAAATTAATGAAACTATTAACAAAATCGGTCAGCAAATCGACTTACAATTATCACTAGTGTTGTTTTTTCTTTTATCTTCATTCACTACAGATGATTACAGTATGTTTCTCTATCGGTTGCTTATTCAGTAAATATCTCAAAACCTTGTCAGTCTAATTGATGGTTTAGCGACACAATCATGCATGCAAATAATCAGTATAAGGAGTCGAGCAAATCTCCTGCAAACTGAAAACATCAATGTCGAATTTACCCCAATACTGACTAAGGTTCAAGCCATTATCATAGACATGAGTTGGGAGTGTACTCCCCTTGGTTACAACTTATGTACTCCCTGATAATCACATGAGCATCACTCACTGTTAATCATCTTGTAAAAGCTTATTTAGCTAAATACATCTTGCAGCACCACATCACTTCGTAATATGACCCATAGGCTTAACTGATTTTAATAACTTGTAACCACTATATCTCAATTAAATCGTATTCCGCCTTATGATAAACTGCATACTTGCAACTATCTTGTATGCCCAATCAGCCGGCAAGTATAAATATAAATAAATAGTCTATCGCAGATCAGAACATTGAGTCTAGAGCATGTCTCTTACGAACACACTCATGTTTAACGATTTTTCCTAGCTATCTGTCCAAAATCCATATAATTATCACTCATGTATTTAAATTTTGTTCTGATAACCGTTCATGTGTATTAGTAGTATTACTAAATTCTATCACGGTCAAGTAAAAATGAGGTTGAGAAAATCTCCCCGTAACTAAATAAACCGTATCAAACTAACTGAAACACTAGTTGGAATTCTTCTCCACGGTATACTTTTGTTCCTTCAGTTAGCCTACTAATACAGATGCAATTGGAATTCAACTCATATGGACAACTTACCGGCATAATCGTTATCCGATTTCATAATTTAAACCAAAACTAATACCAATATTAACATTTCTACAATATTCATTATTTTAATATTTCTAAACACAAAATAATTACTGCCTATAAGTTAATTTATTAACACGCATCGTTTTATTATTATTATTATTATTGTAATCCCATTTTTTATAGTTCAAATAATCTTCAACCAAATTTTCATTTTAAGCGTGTTAATCATGAAAGCAGATATTTTAAGATTATTACATGTATTTTCCGACCAGATACTGCCTTCTTTTTGATTTATCTTTCAGCTTATCAATACCCGGAGGATCTTTATTATCCTTGGTAACCTCCGGCGCGCGACGATCCCATCCAATTTGGTATCGAACCAACATCACGTTGATTCTGGTGGGAGAGTAGTGTAGTGGCATTGGACAATAGCCACACAATCTACAAAGCTGTGAACACGAGACTACTCAGAAAATAGATATTCAATATTTAACTCGGGGAAATACCTAACAATGGAGAAGGCGCGGAGAATGAATTGAATGGACTGGAATTGATCGAGTGGCATGGCTCGGCCATGCAGGCGTGGTCTCTATTCATATTAAATATATTGTTCCTTCTCCAACCTAACCTCGTTCTTCATCATGTATTGGTAATTGATACGATACAGTGAGTTGGCGTAGTCGATGGTGTGACTTCCACGTAAGATCTTATAGATTAGGCAGTTATATCATGACGAATCTACAAATTTAGGATTAGGTCTATTATTAGAGCAGCACTAATATCATAGTAGACCATAATTCTACAGGCTAACTGAAGGAACAAAAGTATTACCGTGGAGAAGAATTCCAACCAGTGTTGCAGTTAGTTTGATACAGTTTATTTAGTTACGGGGGGATTTTCTCAACCTCATTTTTACTTGACCGTGATAGAATTTAGTAATACTACTAATACACATGAATGGTTATCAAAATAAAATTTAAATACATGAGTGATAATTATATGAATTTTGGACAGATAGCTAGGAAAAAATCGTTAAACATGAGTGTGTTCGTAAGAGACATGCTCTGGACTCAATGTTCTGATCTGCGGCAGACTATTTATTTATATTCATACTTGCTGGCTGACTGGGCATACAAGTTAGTTGCAAGTATGCAGTTT